TTCTCTTTTCGCCATCTTCTTCTCTTGTATTGCTGCTCTCACTTCTCTTCTTCCTTTCTTCTAATCTTCAAGTTTACACCTAAGATTTGAGGACTAATTTACATCTAAGTTTCGGCCCAGTCTCTTTGCATACTTGATATTAATCTTACTAGGATGGTTACCTGAGGCTGACCATCTATCCATTCCTTTGTACTCTAAATTTTACTGATTAATAAAATATTCATTGCTACTGGTCCAAAAAAAAAAAAAACAACATAATAGACCATAATTATTTGTTTATACTAACAATTCCATATATCATCTTTAAACAGTACTTATATAAAGAATAATGAAAAAGAAAACGAAATGCAGATAAATAGAGAGAAAAGGGATTTCTAGGATTAGAGAAAAAAAGAGAGAACGAAAGTGTTTAGAAAGGGGAAAACTTAGGTGGATGTTCACTCTCTTCTCGTCTATATAGATCATCATCATCTAAGCCTTGTCCCAACTATATGGGGTCAGTTACATGAATCCTGTTTTGCCATTCCATTCTGTTTAGTTCCATAGCTATTGTTAAAGTTATGAGTGCTTAAATCATTTCTTACTACTTCAACCCATGTCCTTTTCAGTCCGGCCCTAGCTCTTCTAGCCCCTTCAACCTATTACAGATCACTTCTTCCTATAGGTGTTGTGCCTGTAGATGGTCTTTCTATGCTTGTGATCAAACCCATCTCAGTGTATTTTCTCTCAATTTTTCACCTATTGGAGCTACTCCTAGTTTCCTTCAAACTATTTTTGCCCCGTTCGGCACGCCTTTTCGCACAGGCTGTTGGCTTTTTAGAAGCCTGGCAGCCCGAGTTTTCATCTTTTCCCGTTTGGTTGGGAAAAGACCTAGCCACCAAAAGGTGTCACGCCGAAAAGACATGTGAATCCCATTTTGAGCAATTTTCGGGAAGCTCCAAATGGAGCTTTTCGGTTTTTTTTCAACTCGTCTTCACGTTGAAAGACATGCCTTAACCACATGATCTTCAGGCTGTCAAGATCTTAATGCAAAAGCTCACTACGCCTTTTGACTGTCAGAGCTTCCAGAAGATCTTTCAAAAAAGACTTGCCAAACGACCCTGTCCTTCTAGTTTTACCACTCGTCCATCTTAGCATCCACATTTTTGCCACTATGGTAAGCCTCAAAAATACCAAACTTGACTGTTATGCCCTTAGCTGACCATGACAAGAAAAGGTATAAAGGCCTCTAAGTAAACCGGAATAAAAACATAAGCTTTATCAAACAACATTTAGTTATTCTATTTAGTATGAAATTTTTGGGCAGAATAAGTAAATTATTGATGTAGTACACGTTTATGGTGATATTTCAGTACAGTCAGCAGGGGTCCAAGATAGGAGAGTTGGTTGCCTGCATCTCTCCTGAGCAACTTTTGAAATAGACTGATAATGATTTGCATCTTGTAGCTTGTGTGATGCATCAAATTAAAACCTTAGTAAAATGAATGATGGACTCTAATACTTTTGAATGAATGTTTGAATTGTATTTCTTCCCTGGAAGTAATCTGGTTCATGAGTAATTTAATCAGTATCTAGCATTGATGCATGTAATAAAAAGAGAAAAATGCATCAAGTATGGAAAGCTCGAAGCTGATACATTTATCTATGGTTCTAACAGAGTTGCATGAATGATAAGATGCGAGCCAATGCCTTTGCAGCATTTGGAGCACTTAGCAAGTATGGAGTTGGTGCGCAACATGAAGCTTTTCTTGAGCAGGTTTATATATCCCTGATTTTCCTATTGAAAACAGTTGGATGCCATCTTTTTGAAGTTTATGAAATTGGACTTTCCAATCGTAAGTTAAGAAATTAAAAACAAGTTCTATCAATTTATGGCAATTGTAAATTTAAATGTCTTGATTAAGCTGAACAAATTCTTCTTTTTATTCCTGAAATACGACTCTTGAAATTCAATGCCAGTATTTATACATTGGATATTTCTGCTTTTCTTTCCTTTCGATTGCTCATGATATGGTTTTCTGGTAAAGTGAGTTAGCATGGTACAAATATTGATGGACTGATATTGTGTGGATATAAAGGTAAGAAAAGTACTCCATATAGGACAGAGTGAAATCAATTTTCATTCACTAGTAGATAACTTCATATCCCATTACATGACCAAATCAAACAACTACTAAGACTTACATAAGCAAGCATTTTGCATTAATCTTTAGGTCTACCATCAACCGTTGTCGTGCTAATAAAATTTTGTCAACTAAGTTTCATGAATAACAACTTCAAGTAACTTGAAGTTGATCTTATACCTAACCAATCTTCAATCAAGTAAAACATACAAAATGCCAAGGTAGAGAAGAGATCAACAGTAAAACTGCCACATGAAATATGCCAAACTCGAGCTAGAACTCACATCTCAAGATAGAAGATGTGAAAATTACATAAATAAAAAGTATGGTGATCTTCTATTTCCATTCATATTCATACTTCATAAATAAATAAAATTACATAAATACACCTGGACGTCCAAACTGAAAAAGGACATAAACAACCAGCAAAAAGACACAAAACCCAATAAAATAAAACTAAAAGAAGTTTGTCAGCACTTCCCCACAAACTGAGAATAGAGATATGGTCAACTTTCTAAGGTTGTGTTAAAACTGAGACTTGACAGCTCATTTTGTCATAATGTCAGCTAATTGTGATTCGGACTTGACAAAGGCTAACAAACCTCCAGGAGGAAGTGAAATGGAGGCAAAGATCGAGAACTCTTTGGATGAAGGCAGGTGGTCAGAATACTGCCTTTTCCACAAGATAGCTAATGCAAGGAGGAAGTAGAATTCTGTATCTAAACTGGAGGTGGACAGCAGATGCTTCAGGAAAAAGATAAAATTACACAGGCTCTAATTGGGTTCTGTGAGAATTTGTACAAATAAAAATGGGTTCACTGACCAAATTTGGAGGGAATCCACTTTGTGCAATTGTCAAAAGAGCAAGCTGCAGATTTTGAAAATAAGTTCTCAGAGGAGGAAATCCATGCTGTAATTTGTGAGATGGAAGGGGACAAAGCCCCAGGGCCTGATGGTTTCACAGTGAGATTCTTCAAAACCTGTTGGAATGTTTTGAAGCTCGATATGCTGAGAGTCTTTGAGGAGATTCGCAGGAGGTCAAGCCTGAGATAAACTCTTAAGCAGGGAATGGTGTTGAATCAATGGGGATACGTTTTCTGCCGTGAAGAAGTTGAAACAGTAAATCATGTGTTCCTGCACTGCCCATTTTGTGCAAAGCTGTGAGGTGTAGTTCTGGATGTGTTCGGCTGGGCTGGTTGTTCTCCTCAATCCATCCAGTCCTTGATGAGATGGATGATTTAGGGTCTAAGAAAGAGAGGTAGAGTGGTATGGTGTTTGGTGCCAATGGCTGTATTGTGGTACATTTGGAGGTGAGGAATGGTAGGATCTTCAAGAATTGTACTTCAAGTGATCAAGTTTTGTTAAGCAGAAAGGGATGTTTTGTTCATGGTTATTAGCTCAAAGGAATTCAGAGGATTAAGCTACAGTAGATTTTTTTATAAGGATATATTATTCCCTTCTTAATAGCTTGCTAAGAATTGTATAGTCCAATACACAATGGGTGTAAATGATCTTCAGATGTAATTTTTTATATTTAATACAATATATTGCTTTTTTTCCAAAAAGATGAAAAAAAAAGCAAACAAACCTCCCTCCCCTAAGAACCCTTCTCAAATAAAATGACAATTCACCTCAATGTCCTTCATGAAATCATGCTGGATAGGATTATGAGCAATACTTGGTTGGCAGGTTACGATATTAGAGGGGTCACAAGCTCAATTCCGAGCTCCTCAAGTATGGTAGCAGCCATAATAATTCAGATGTACTATGTGTCATAACCTAATATTCTGCTTTTACACTAGACTAAGCAACAAACGGCTCTTTCTTATCTCTCCATGATACAAGGTTCCTCTATCATCAGCTGAACTAACCCAATATGCATTTGTACAAGCTTCAGTTTTCATATGTCCATGATTAGCATATATTATTCCTCTTCCTGGAATCTTCTAAAGTATGCAAGTATTCTCTCAACTGCCTATAAGTGGGGAACACGCGATTCATGCATAAACTAACCGACTACTCTAACTGCATATGAAATATCAGTTGTGTTTGCTATACGTAAGTATAACAGCCAGTGAACTAACCACTGATATCTCCCTTTGTCTTCTAATATATTCCCATTATATGTATTCAGTTTGTGATTTGGATCAATAGGTCTATCAACAAGTTGAACTCCTAATTTTATTGTCTTTTTAGTAGATGAAGGATATACCTTGTATGACAAATATTCCATGCTTGGGTCAAGTAAGTTCAATTCTATCAACAACTTGCCTAGAGATCTTTGGTTTTAAATCCAGGACCTGAGAACCTTTTATCACAGTGATACCTAAAGGGTTTTACCTGTCACCACCATGTCATCTACATATACAATAAACATTCAAAAAGGCATTCTTCACATCAAGCTAAAACAAAGGCCAAAAAACCGACTACAAGTGAGGAAAGTACACAATACAGACTTACCTTTTCTACAAGAGCAAAGGTCCCTAATAATCTACGCCATAAGTCTGTATGGACCCTTTAGTTTATTCAGATCTCCATACAGCCTGCTGATCCTAAAACTGCATGAGATTCACTTCAAGAAGAAAAGAAAATGCAGCAAAAGGACTTGGCGCCATTACCAAGTCCTTTCTGTACACTTCTCAATATAATACAACATTACTTTTTTCTAAAAAAAAATAGAAGTTATGGTTTCTTCATGCAGTTTAGGAATAAAACCAATAAAGAACTAGAAAAAAAGAGACAAGAGAGGAGGAGAAGGTGAAGAGAATACAGTATTTGAGGGAGAAAAAAGCATGGGCAATCTGCTCATTCAATTCATAGCTATTATCTCATAATTCATAAAACAAAAGTAGAAGAATACATAGACACCCCTGGATGTCCAGCATAGAAAAGGGCATAAACATCTTAGCAAAAAAAAACATAAAACCCAAGAAGATAAAACTAAAAAAATCCTGTGAACAAATTTTCTCACTTGTTCTATAAGGAATGCTAGTAAATAATTTTATGTAACTCAAAGATGCCTCACCCTACAGACAATATGGAACGCACGGCTAGTTTTATTTTGTAGTCTTTTCATGGTTCTACCATGCCTGTAGAGCAAGGTATCCAAGATTTGTATAGATTTGCTTTTTACTAGAACTCCACCTTATTCCTTGTGCATAAAAGTCCATTATCCAATATTGTTCCCAGCTAGAGGTCTTAGGAGGGGTGGATTGGATATGAATATAACCTTCTGTATTTTCCTTTATTCTATGTAGGTTTCATCCTTTTTTTCTTTTGAAAGAAAGTAAGGTAATTTTATTGAAAAAATAAAAAATAAAAAAAAGAGAATACAGAGGGGGCCCAGAACAGGAGCAGCCGACAGGGTACAAGTCCCTAAACTAAATTACAGCTCAAAAAAACTTCTAGACCTCAGCTGGGCTCCAAGCACTTAAGTCTGGAGACCTTTCATAGCTGCTGTCCAAGAAACTAATTTTCCCACAGTACAAGAGATAAGACAGTCTACATCCTTTGATTTGTTTTGAAAAATTCTTCTATTTTTTTCCACCCAGATAGTACTGATCACTGCTGCAGGAATAGCCAACCACACATTTTTTGCCAGCTTGGAGAGGCCTTGTAGTTCCCAGCTCCATAACAGGTCCGACGCATTAATTGGCATGATCCAGGAAAGGCCCACAGAAGAGAGGAAATGCCCCCATAATGCTGCTGAAACAGGACAATGCATAAATAGATAGTTGTTGTCCTCCTCAGCTTGACCACACAGTTCACACAAAAGGTTTTGAATCTGAATTCCTCTTCTGTCCGGATTCTGTTTAGATAGGTTTCTATCCAAAGCTACAGCCCAAAGCAATGCATTTACTTTAGATGGGGGAATCTGGCTCCATATTTTATCAGCAGGGACAGCCGCTCTATCCCCATCTGATAAAACTCTAGCAAAGGAGTTCACTGAAAAATTCCATCTGCAGTCCACTTCCAGGTCCAAGTCTCTTCTTCCAACAATTTCAAAGCCTGATTGGATAGCATTTCAAAGAGCTCCACCACTTGATCTACTTCCCAATCTTGAAAAGCTCTTCTGAAAGGACTCCAGGAAGTGATATTTTCTCTCAGTTCACAGCATTCAGCCACCATTGCATCCTGATTCTCAGCAAGTTGGTATAGCTGGGGAAACAGCTCTTCTAAAGACCTGCTGTTGCACCATTTGTCTTTCCAGAATTTCAGTCGATGACCAGAACCCAGTTTAGGAAACAGACCACTGTTTATAAGAGGGAGATTTCCATAATTTTCTTCCATAAGGAACACCCCAGAGAAGAGAAGTTTGAGGTGGCTACCCAGTCACCTCAATCAGTTTCAAACTTGGCTGCTAATAATTTCCTCCACCAACCGCCCCTTTCTTTTCCAAATCTCCATATTCATTTCCCCAATAAAGCCTTGTTAAAAGTTTTCAGTTTCCTCCCCCACAATCCTCCTTTTTCTTTTGGAGTACACACTTGATCCCAATTGACCAGGTGGATTTTCTTTTCCTCCTCCCAACCCTCCCATAGAAAATCACTCTGAAGCTTTTCTAATCTTTGGGCCACTTTTGTTGGGATTGGGAATGAAGAGAGGAAGTAGGAGGGTAAATTAGAAAGGGCACTCTTTAGAAGGGCAATTCTACCTCCCAAAGACAGATATTTGGCTTTCCATGATGCCAGTTTCCTTTCTAACCATTCTACCAACGGGTCCCATCCATTTTGTCTAACCTTATTCTATGTAGGTCTCATCCATTTTATCTAACATTTACAAACCTCTATTTGGTACCATCTGATCCTACAGTATTTGTTGTATGTTTCTCTGTTTAGATATCCACATCTTATGAAAGGATGTTGCTTTCTTCATCTTTTCCCACTTTCCTTGTCATTTTTCCTTACCAAAATCTTTTATTCTTACATTTTTCTCCTTTTCATCCTTCCAAGCTTGTATGCATCTCTCTCATCATCTCTAGTTTGCTATACCAGTCATTAAACATGATACCACCTTAAGTTTGTCCTTACTTCCTTATTTTCTTTCTTCATGTCTATACACATATTTCTTCCTTGGTCTTAAAAGAAACTTGTTTGCAATTGATAATCTTCTAATCTCAACTCTCCACTAAGATTGTTCATCATGGCGACCTTTTCTCTATGTTTTTCAGAAAAAGTAAAAGGTACTCCTTTTTCTATTCTCTTAATTTATTCTGCCATACCATTCTATGTATCATTGTTTCCTTTCTTGAAAGTTCCTTGTTTCTTATCCAATCAATTTGTTCCCAAAGATCTGCACCTTTTCCTTTTGAACTATTAACTCAGCCGGTTAATTCTTCTAAGATATATATTCGTCCATCATTTGATTATTTTTTTGTTTTACTAAAAAGAAATCTCACGTTAGGGCCTTGACACTGCTTAAGGTGTTGAATTTTTATTGGGTGCTTATTTTTCAGTTCTGGCATTGCACACTCAGATATATGAAATCTAAGTTAATTTGGTGCCAAAAAGAATAATACCTTACAAACAGGAAATGAGCAAAAGCAAAAGAACTGAAGTGTTTTAGATTATACCAATTAGTGGTGATTTTTCTCCAGAAATTAAGATTAATACCAGATAATCAAAACAATTTAAACTGAAAATCCAGACAAATGGTTTCTTCTCCCTTCTTCTTGGGGGAAAGGGTAAGTGTTTGAGTTTCTTCTTTGGAGATTTCTTTAAATATCAATGAACCAAATAAACATATAGTTGCAATATGCCTGATAATCTGGAATTACTAATGGAACTGAACAGAATGGAATGGTGAAAGAGGATTAATTTAACAGACCCCATATAGTTGGGACATGGCTTGGGTGATGATGATGATTCTGGAATTGATAATATATTTACTGATACTGACATTTTTTTATTGGTAAGACTAGTTGAGTGGCACGTGCATTTGCATGTGCAGGAGGAAAGAGAGGGGAAGGAAAACAAATTGATTAAAATTTTGGTATAGTGGTCCTTTTGACTTGAAGACAAGGTGAGTATCAGCATTATATAATAAAATTAAAATATTAAAAAAGTTATATAATACAGCTCATGCTCCAGTTAGAGTTTCAGTTCTTAGTAATCTAGATGTGGTAACTTGGTATGGCATTGAGAATAAACAATCACTTCTAAAATTTTATATCAGCATATACCTAACATTTATTTCTTCCGTGCAAGTACATGCATATTGTTTTCTAAATATTAATTTCATTTGGCTATTGTAACTCCTATTTGTTATTGATCAAAAAAAAAAATTGCAACTCCTATTTGACATCAACCTGCATTCTAATATGCACTGAAGCACTTGACATGTTCAGGTGCATGCTTCCTTGCCACGGCTGATTCTCCATGTTCATGATGATGATCTTAGTGTCCGACAGGCTTGCCGAGTAAGTAATTTCCACCCCTCTTGATCTCTTCTCTTCATGAGTTTCCTACTAACACCCTTTCTGGTATTTCAACAGAATACTCTTAGACAGATAGTGCCCTTGATGGAAGTTGACAGCATGACTGCTCGCTTCAACACACACTACTTCAATTCTGACCACCGGTATGTGTTGACATATGTCACAATATCAAGGCACCCAATATTAGTATTTGATTAAGCCTCTTCAAAAAAAAAGTAGTTCTTGGTACTTATTCTGGAAGAGTTACATTTAAGTCTTTCTGTTTTATCAGAAGCGATTATGAGGACTTCATCAGGGACCTTACCAGGCAACTTTGCCAAAACTTTTCCCCCAGGATTGATACGTACATGGCATCAGCAGTTCAGGTCTATATTCTAATTATTTTTGAGAGATCATATAATGATAAAATGTATTTAATGGTCTCAGGGGCAGCAAGTCCAAGGCCCCTGAACCAATTAGATTCCATTTGCTAGTAATACAAATTGCCGGTCTGAACTCTGAAGATCTATTGTATAGCAGGTTATTTGATTGATGTTTTGTCATATCAAAATGTCTAATAATTAACAATCCATGATGTAAGTTATTTACATTGATCATGCAGGCTTTTGATGCTCCTTGGCCAATAATCCAGGCAAATGCTATTTACTTTTCCAGCTGCATGCTTTCACTTTCGGATGACCAGCGCATCTCTACTCCTTTCTTTGCACAGGTGTCTTAGACTAACTACTTAATGGCAAACAGTAATGTTCTTGTAGGTTTCCAAATAATGGCATATTGATTTACTAGAGAGTTTGACTTTCAGGTATTTGGGATGTTGACTGGTAAAATGAGTCGCTCACCAGATGCAGTCGTTCGAGCAACTTGCCTTTCAGCTTTAGGCATGTTATTAAAATCTTCCAATTCAACATCATGGAGAACATCAAGACTAGATTGAGTTGACTCAGTACGTAAAGGTCATGATTCCTGGTCAATTAAGAAGGAAAACCAACCGAAACCATTGTGCTCTTCACAGAGTAGAGCTGGCAGCAGCTGCATCTGATCTGCAGATACAGAACAAGAAATGTGTATCAAATGTGTAAAAAAGAGTGAACGTGCTGCAATCATGGGGTATGGATCTGATTGGCGTTGGGAAGTTATATCCTCATTGTGTATCAGATGTATAAACAAAAATGTATAGATGCTGATCAATGTAATCGTAATGGCGTAATTTATGTAATATTAAAGTGTGAATATGATGATGTGAATTGATGTTGCACTGCGAATGTATCGCCCCAAAGAACTACATGACAATTTTTCATGCAAACTTGTAGAGCGATTGGTTTCTTGGCTTGATTTTCTTGTTTTGTTTCAAAATTTCTTCTCATTTCTTTTTGTTCCACAGCGAAATGAAATTTTTTTAATCAAATCAAGGAGGAAGCTTTTGTTGGAATAAGGCCTAGATGATGATGATATTGTGAAGAGAGCTTTTGTTGGGAACTTGAGATAAGGCCTCTATGATGATTGAGGGGAGAAGTTTTCTACATAACCCCTCCCATTTCGGCCAGATGGAGGGATCCTGCAGGCTGCAGCAGATCCAGATTCCAGACCATCCACCAGACCAACTAAATTGGCCATGTATATTCATTTCACAGTCCACATTAGACTCATATGCGGTACTGGAGCTTAGACCAATCAATGATAGTCATCCAATAATTGCCATGAAAATATCAAAATATCCATCTTGAATGTATGATGAGGACTGTTTTTGAATTTTTCCCATGAATAAAAAGTTGGGAAAGAAGAACAGGACCTATCCGTGCTAAGTTGCCACATGGAAACTTCCTTAATTTTGAGGTCATTAAACAACCTGACTAGCAAACTTTACGTTTTATATACAAGAATTCAACACCTTAGCACCAAGGTCTAAAATATTGGTACCAATAGTGGCTCAGTTGGTAGCAGTGACCTGGGATAAAAAAGGATGAATATTTGGGAATATATTGATTTATTGTTGAGTCTGTGATGGTTTTACTTGGATTAGCAGATTCCCAAAATATGAGAAATTTAAAAAATCATAAAATTAGCTTATTGTAAATGATTTTGATGGTAGAAAAACATTTTTAAATGGTTTTGATGATAAATGATCTATCAAATCCATTGTTTCATCAACTATTTATGTCTAAAAGATCTTATTTTTGGCAATTTATAGAAATGAAAGTAATGAAAATAAAATAGTTATTTTAGTAACTGGGAAGCACTTTTTGATCAAAAGAAGAGGGTTAAGTGCAATTACCCAAGTAACTAGCTTCCTAAAAAATTGAATGGAGCCTTAATATTTTAAATATATCTAAGCTTTCGGACTAAAACATACCATGAGGTATTTACTGCACTTAAATATACCTTATCCACTAACATCACTTGACTTAAACATACCCTCCCTTAGTGACATCACAAGACTTAGTAGGTGTTTGGTATCAATGCCATTGCTTCAGAGATGTTTTCTAAGAAAACTGTGGTATATGCATAAGGATCTATTGTACCATTTTCTCAGAAAACAGCTACGTTTTTTTTTTTTTTTTTTTTTTTCTGCTACAGGCTGTTTTCTGGGAAAACAGCACTGGCTTTGTTT